TGGTCCTGTAACAGACCCACTTCCCTTTCTAAAAACCTAGTCTCACTGCTCATTTTTCAGAATGTTTTCATTCTGCAGTTCAGAAGGCAGTTTTCCATGGAATTTATCTGTAAACAAAAATCAGAACCAGTTATGTTTAGTAAGGTAAGAAGGCAAATTTAATTCATGTGTTTGCTCACACCAAAAATCAGACATATTTTGAGAACTCTTAGCAGATAAAAAGAATAGATGTTGGCAGTTACAGCAGAGATACCAAGGAATGAGTGAGCATAAAGATTCTCTCTGGTCTTTCTAGTTCCAGGTGGAGGCATATTGGTAAAATAGTAACAAAATTAGAAAAGTAAAATGTATCTCTTCAGTACTAGCCTCTGCAGAACTGGAGAAACTGCATTGCATCATGGTTGTTGCTACTGCTTCTTCCCTAGGTGACACTGCACCATGTAAAGAGCAGGAGGACTCTGCATTTTCCAGCAAACAAGTGGTTGTCAAGAAGCCGTGGAGCTGGAGATATTATATGTGAACTCCCAGTAGAAGAAGCAGGAAAACCCATTTATCCAAGTACGTGTATACTTCGGAAGTACACACTTAGATGTACTGGATTCAGGTTAGCTGTGTTATCTTTCACGAGCAGTATATTCATAAAGGTATTATTAATAATCGCAAAAAATACTTAAATTTAGTTCTTGAAAATATAATCTCTGCAAATGTGTGCAAGACAGATTTGTGGTGGTGTCTTCATTATGACTGAAGGTTGACCACATATGAATTGTGATCTCTCTGTATGAATAACTAACTCGTGTTTTCCTTTCTCGGTTTTGCAAGTTGTGAGATACCACATTTATGTTTACACTGGCCATCTGGAGCAAGCTGAAACAGACTCTCCGATCTACCTATGTATCTATGGAAAGAGAGGAGACTCTGGTCTAAGACTTCTGCATAAATCTGATATGCCAGTGAAATTTCAGAGAGGAATGGTAAGTTTGAGCAAGGAAGTTTGCATATTCACAGAGACATGTTTAAAGTAGCCTTTATACATGCTTAAAATTGGTTTTGAGGGGAACTAATCGAAATCTAGGATACAGACACACTTCAGTTTATTTAGCTACTCTTTTATTAAAGATTTTCATAGATATAATACAGTACATTTGGTGCTTGCCATTTCTGGGAGATGATAATATAAGGTGAGGAAAAAACAGGACATAGTAAACCAGAAATGAATAATGGAACAAGAGTGAAAAATGGGAAGTTGGGGAGGGGGCAACATTAAGGAGAATAAAAGAATAGAAAAAGAAAGAAAAAAAATCAAGATGAAGAGAAAAGCCACAAGGGAAAATACAGACATTTTCAGTCAAAGCATAAGAGATCAAAATTGGACACAAATGAGTGCACAAAAATTGTTTCATGGCTTCAAATCTCAGTAGGAACATTTGCTGTCTATTTCTTCTAACACATGGCAGTTTTGTAAAGCATTTTGATACTGATGAATGCAATCCAGGTGTAAATGAAACTATCTAATTTGTCTTTCATGTACCTCAGAGCCTTACCATAAGTAAAATACACAAGCTGCATTCTGCAGCGTGGTTTAGTGGACTGAGCAAGAGACCGAATTTCAGAAATTACTGAGTTCTAATTCTGGTCCTGTCACTGAGGATATGTCTACACTGCAATAAAACACCAGTGGCTGGCCCATGTTAGCTGACTCGGGCTTGTGAGGCTCAGATTGCAAGGCTATAAAATTGTAGTGTAGCTGTTCGGGCTCGTGTAGGCCCAGAGTCTGGATTCCAGCCCGAGCTCAAATGACTATGCTGTAATTTTATAGCCTCGCATCCCGAGCAAGCAGACATGGGCCCGCTGCAGGTGTTTTATTTCAGTGTTGACATACGCTGACTTTCTGAGTGCCCTTGGCAAGTCACTTGGCCTCCACTGTGTCTCAGTTTCTCCATCTGTAAAATGGGGGGAAATGAATGCTTACTAACCTCACAGGTTATATTGACATATTTGAGGAATACTTATAAAATGCAAAGCGTATATAAATGCTAAATTATTCAGCACAGTAGAACATCCCTGATACATTGAGAAACTGCAGGTGGATCTGTGCCAATTTAACAGCATAGAATATAAATCTGCCCCATTAGTAATGCATTAGATATAAAGTACTGCACAAAGGAGTTGAAATTCAGGACATAAAGTTGCCTGAGAGACCTCTTTTGGGTAGGCTGATGAGAGTGTCCTGTATTATATTATTTATACAAAACGGCTAAGAGTGAGGAGATTCTATTCTTCACCTCATTTGTTACAGAAGCTGGAAAGTGTGTAGTGAATGAGGCAGGGGACTGCAGGAAAAGAAAGTATCATCTGCTGGTTCAGGCAGTTGAATACTGCCCTGGAGAACTGGATTCTATCCCTGTCTTTGCCACAGAGTTCCTAACATGATGCTGGGAAAGTCACTTAAACCAGACTTTCACAGGTGGCCACTGTGTTCCTCATTTTCTAGGTACTCAACTTGAGATGCTTCAGCTCTGATATACTAACTTGTTGAGCACTGATAGCTGGAACTGAGGTTAATGGGAGCTCTGCTCTGAACATGTAAAGTGGTATAAAATGCTGAGTTCTCTGAAAGATCTGGCCCTAAGCTTCTCAAATTGAGCACCCAAAATTAGATGACATTTTTGACAATTTTGGCTTTAATCTCTGTGCTTCAACTTCATCATGAAATGGGATAATAATACCACTTCACCTCACCTCACCAGGGTATTGTGAACACCAGTTCATTAATCTTTGTAAAGAACTGAGATGCTGCAATGACTGCATCGCAGAAAAACCCACAAGGAAATGAACAATTCTGTATTCGGTGCAAGGTTTGGTTGTTGTGCAGTAAATAAAGGCGGGGGGGGGGGGGGCCCACACAGAATGAGAAGGATAAAAAGAAATATTGGATAGTTACCCATTCAGTGAGCACTGTCCATCCTGTTCACTGAATGAAGCAGGGGGTCCTCTGGAAAATATAGTATGTGGTCATATAATTAAAGAATGTCTCATAATGCATATGCACAAGGGGGCTGAACTAAGGTTACATGGACACCCCTAATTCTGGCATTTCCTATCTTTAGAGTGCTTGACTTTACGACCTTAACATGCTTTTAGCGTAGGTTTTTTTGGATCTCTCTCTGTGTGTGTAATAAATTTATACTTTTCATCTCTTCCCTTTGAGTTTTTCTGTTAAACTTAGAGAGAGAATTTGCACAGTGAACTGTATACTCTTCATGAGGTCAAAACTAGGCCAACCTGAATCTGTCACCTGATCAGCTGCATGCCTCCATTAAAGCAATCTTCATCAAACTTTTGCACAAGTCTAAATGGATAAGCAGAACAAAGTGGCATGCCAGATTTCAGCTTTTTCAGTATAATGACATTTAAATGGAGGGGGGAACCACACATGAAGCAAATATGTCCCTTACTAAGAAAATAATGTTACAGTATTGTAAAGTAATCACCCCAAACACTGCTCAAGCATTATTGTAAGGTGTACTGGATCAGTACTGAAGAATTTTGCACTACTTTTGGGGAAGGTAATTTACATGAGGTTTTTGCCATTATTATTACATTCAGATTTTTAGCTTGTCCACTTATTACCTGATCCAAAATCCATTGAGTCAATGGAAAGACACTGGATAACTTTGATGGGCTTTGAATCTACCCCGTTGGGAACAATCTGACTCCCATTATATCCAATGGGAATCTTTTCCTTGGCTGTAATGAGAGTTGGATCAATGCCCTTAAAATACTGAGCAGCTTTTAGCTTTTCTTACTGCTGTTATAAAATGGTGTCTGCACTGTTGTCTTCTAGGTGGATATGTTTGAAATGGAAGCTGTATCTCTTGGAAAACTGCAGAAGGTGCTATTGCACTGCGAGGCCAGTAACAAGGCGCAGTACTGGTACTGTGAGAAAGTAATCATCAGAAAAGCTGGGAAGGACGCTGAATATATTTTCAACTGTGAGAGGTAGTATTTACACTACAGCCCTTTTGTTTTTAAACCAGCTTTGTCTTCCCAAATAATCCTTTAAGGCTACATACCCTTTGGATGATACCCATGTGAAACATTTAGCCAATAAATATGCTCAGTTTGGTTTTTCCAGGACCAGCCAGATAAACTCATATTACTTATCACTCCAGGATTGATTGCTTAATTTAGTGATTGCCAGGTAGTGTGTGCCAAAGGCTAACTCCGTACTTCATAATGTTATATGATTGGCTTGTGCAATCCAACCTGTGTCCCATGTGGAGCAATGCTCTAAGATGGTGGGTGAGAATTTCCCATAGAAGAAGCAAAGATAAATTATACAAACAGGTTTTTAAATTAAAGCCTAATTCTCCATGGGACATTCACAAGGAGCACAATCCAGAAGTAGCATTTGTTCTTGCTGAAGAGATGACTGAGATGCCAAAAAGGGGAAAGTTTTCTGGTGGTTACCTAATTTAAGCTATTAAATCAGTATACTCCCCTCCTCCCTCTCCCCCCCCCCAATCAAGCAGGGGTTACACCAGCATAGCGTAACAAGAAAAGAAGAGCTGTGGAAACCAAAAACCTGCTCAGGCCCATACGATAATACTTACACTGCAAATTCTCATAAATGTGAATAACTTGATGTGAGTAGACCCATTGAAATTAGTGGATTGATAGGAGGTAATGTTCCCCAGTGGACAGGTCTCTGGATTCGGGGTCAGGAGACCTAGTTTGTATTACCAGATCTATTGTTGATTTGGTGTAAATTTGGGCAACTTGCTGAAATTCTCTATGCCTCAGGTTCACTATCTTTAAAATAGAAATAAAAATATTCACTCACTTTTGTAAAATGTTTTGAGATTAAGGCAACCCTATAAATTATTATAATTATTTTTATTAATACTGACAAGAGTAGGGATTTCTCATGTGAATAAGGGATGCAGGTTTGGGCACATACTAGTTGGTGTTTCATCAATATACAAACAACACTCTGACATTAATCAGACAGAAGGTTCTATAGAGAAATGAGGCCAGCTGCCTACCTCAAGCAAGAAAGATCAGCTCAGTATCAAATCCGTCCTCCAGTGGGTCACATGGCTCAGACTTCATGCATGACAGGGCACTTCGGTGTATTCATTCTGTGATAATTAGCACCTAGGAGGCTGGTCAGCAGAAAATATTCAGCAGCAGAGGCTGTAAAGGTGAAAAGGAAAGAGAATTTATATCATTCCTGCCTTTTGCGGCTGCTATAAAAAGAACACTGCTACTGACGAGAGTTTAAAATAGGGCAGCAGGACCACCAAGGGATGGCTTCTTTATTGGCCAAAGAAGCTGCAATACAATGCACTTCTCAAGGAAGGAAAATGCTTTGTTCCTCAGACATGCTTCTGATATGCTTTATCTTCACTGCCTCATGGCTTTATTTTCATTTTATACTGGAAGACTTGATTCCCCCCCGGTTCAGATACCATATTCCTTAATTCTCTCAGTTAATATATATATATGGAGATATACCTATCTCATAGAACTGGAAGGGACCCCAAAGAGTCATTGAGTCCAGCCCCCTGCCTTCACTAGCAGGACCAATTTTGCCCCAGATCCCTAAGTGGTCCTCTCAAGGATTGAACTCACAACCCTAAGTTTAGCAGGCCAATGCTCAAACCACTGAGCTATACCTCCCCCATAATCTGGTAAATGTCAACATTTTTTCTGACTTAATAGAATCCTGACTTTTGATTTTTTCACAGGCAAAATCCAGCCATTCTCATGGATGTCAATTAAAATGTTGTTTCTGTTTTGGGTTTTTAAAATTATACAACAACATGTTTTCAGCATTTAGGATTACACAATATATCTGTATAACCTGGTTTTAATGGGAGAGCAGCATAAATAAGCCAACAGCCCAGTGTGTGCTGTAGCACTGAAAACTAGAAGGTCAGTTAGTTAATGTATTAAGGTTCATGGGATCTGGTGTTATGAAATGCTAAGTGCTGCTTTCAAGGTGTAGTTGAAGGTGCTCGGCACCTCCTGGGATTGGGCCTGTTAGTGAGCTGGTAGGAAGGTACCAAGGTACCTGCTCTCTGGCCCTGATCTGTGGAACTATGTATGTACCTGATGTTACGCACATGCCCAATGCTTTTCTGATCAGGGCCAGGAAGCTCAGAACCATACAGGATCAAGCCCCAGCAGCCTCACTGTACAGCAGTCCATAACTACTGATTAATGAAGTGGCTCTCATGTGGAGATTGCAATAGCCTTACAATGTGGAAGGAAAAAGGTCCTCTAAGGATAATCCAGAAAAGAGAAAAAACAACAAGGAATCCTTGTGGCACCTTAGAGACTAACAAATGTATTTGGTCATAAGCGTTCGTGGGCTAAAACACACTTCATCAGATGCATGGAGTGAAAAATACAGTAAGCAGTATAGGTATTTTACAGCACGTGAAAAGATGGGAGTTGTCTTACCAAGTGGGGCTGTCAGTGCTAAGGAGGTCAATTCAATTTAGGTGGAAGTGGCCTATTCTCAACAATTGACAAGAAGGGGTGAATATCAGAGGGAAAATTACTTTTTGTAATGACCCATCCACTCCCAGTCTTTATTCAGGCCTAATTTGATGGTGTCCAGTTCACAAATTAATTCCGGTTCTGTAGTTTCTCATTGGAGTCTGTTTTTGAAGTTTTTTTGTTGAAGAATTGCCACTTTTAAGTCTGTTATTAGCCCATGAAAGCTTATGCCCAAATAAATTTGTTAGCCCCTAAGGTGCCACAGGGACTCCTTGTTTTTGCTGATACAGACTAACACGGCTACCACTCTGAAACCAGAAAAGAGAGAGGAAATCAGAATGTGAAAACCAGAAAAGCAACACATAAATGGATCAGTGTTTAATGTTCTCTGTTTTTAGTCAGCAAGGCATAAAACACATCTTTAGAAAATGGTTATATTCTCCCCTTTTAAATCAAAGCTCCTGTTTTCTGAAAATAAAGAGCTGGCTATTTATCAGGGGATTAATTGACCTTTTCCCTCAGGTGCCACTGTTAATCATTTCTGGTTATTCTCAGCATCTATTCCTGTTGTTGCAGACCTCACTCCTTTTCTTTGTCAGTTTCATGCTATTCCTTGGTGTGAAATTCACATGTGGTGCTTGGAAACAGATAGGATGAGACACCCAGATGCAGTTCTGATTTTCTGGCGGGTAGAGAAATTTGAGAAATTGAACATTTTCTCTTGTGCCTTCAGCTGAATCATTTTTGTTTCCTATGAGGCAAAGATTGTTTTGCACACACCAAGCAGGCATATACTGCCTGATAGGTAGCAGAAGTATGACAGATCTGTTGTCAGAATGTGGGAGGAGGAGAACCCCTGCAGAGAGTGCAGGCATCCTGCATACCTCACAGCTGAGCATCAGAGGGGCTTCCTCTACACTGACACTCCAGGGAGATTTGACATGAGTTGGGAGGGGTATGCACCTGCAACTTTGTAGATACCACTACTAAATCTCACCTCCCCCCATTTGGGAGTATAGTTGTAACACCGATGACTTGTCGGTAGCCGGGATTAAACCTGGGATCTCTGGGGCTCAATGAATGAGCCTCTTTAGCATGAGCTAGAACAGTGTTTTTCAAACCAAGGATCGCAACCCACTATTGGGTTGCGGCATGTAAGGCGCTGGGTCACCTTGCTCTGGTCAGCACCGCCGACCGGGACGTTAAAAGTCCTGTCGGCAGTGCTGCCCAGCTAAGGCAGGCTAGTGCCTACCTTTTCTGACACTGCGCTGCACCCCCGAAGCGGCCAGCAGCGGGTCCGGCTTCTAGGTAGGGGGGCCATGGGGCTCCGCGCGCTGCCCCTGCTCCGAGCGCCGGCTCCGCATGTTCCCGGCCAATGGGAGCTGCGGGGACAGTGCCTGCCGGCGAGAGTCGCGCAGAGCCACTTGTGCACCTCTGCCTAGGAGCCACTTGTGTGCCTCCGCTAGGAGCCAGACCTTCGAGGGTACAGCACGGTCCACGGTGCCAGGACAGGTGGGAAGCCTGCCTCTGCACCCCGGATGCGCTGCTGATTGGGAGTCACCGGAGGTAAGTCCGTGCCCCAATTCCCTGCCCCAGTCCTGAGCCCCCCAAACCCAGAACCCCTTCCTGCACCCCAAACCCCTCATCCCCAGCTCCACCCCAGAGCCTGCACTCCCAGCCCAGAACCCTGACCCCCTCCTGCACCCCAACCCCCTGCCCCAGCTCAGAGCCCCCTCCCACACCCTGAACCCCTCATTCCTGGCCCCACACTGCAGCCCTCACCCCCACACCCCAAACCCCTCCTCCCCAGCTCCATTGGGTCGCAGGCATCAACAATTTTCTTCAACTGGGTCCCCAGAAAAAATGTTTGAAAACCACTGAGCTAGAAGACACCGGTCTCTTAGCCAAAATCTAGCAGGTTAATCAGTCTCTAGCTGGTCTAGCTGCCACTAGAGGGAGACAGAGTGCCACACCAAGCAGGCATGGGTTACACAGTGGCAGAGGTGACTGCAGCTCTGAGGCTGGAACAGTGGAGGAATGCAGGCCAGTGGAGGAAGAGTCCATCCCACTTGACCTCTCTGTCACTGCCTGCCCTGTACTTAGATGCCTTGGTGCTGTGCCGCTGTGGTTCAGACCCAAGATCTCATCCTGGCTCTCACCAACCTAGTTACTCCTTTCAGGGTGACACCAACATGCTTTCAGTCACAGGCCTTCCCAAATCCATCCTTCCAAAGTTCTTAATTACCAGACACTTGGACAAATGCCCTCTGGTTCATCGCCCCCTCAAGGCATGAACCCAGCCCCCCAGACACCAGTTTACTTTGGCACACACACTCCACACAGTTTGCACGTGAGAGACCTGTTTGGGGTAAAGCTAAACAAAAGGCTTAAGTAATAGAAAAGCCACAGATTCAAAGATGAAATAGTAAGGGAGAACAAACATATACAAGTGACACAGAAAAGAAACACAAAGATGAAACCCTTTTCTAATACAAGTTATCTATTGCCTTTGAAGAGTTTCCCAGCATACCCACCCGTAGCTGTAATAGAATCCAGGAGTTCATGGACAGCACTTGCCAAGTGACTGTCAGAAAACCTTGGAAAAAGCCTTTTACAAGCAGGCTTGTGTCTACTTTTTTTTTCCTCTCAGTCCATGATGACTCATATTTATTCAGAGTGAAGAAATTCCCTCTTACCTGAGAGCCAGGATGTCTCCATTAACTCCATTGTCTTTTCCTGGATAGACAGTGGGTTGTTGCTTGGAGCCGGTGTCGTATAAATCCCTGTCTTGGAAGGTGCCCTCCAGGCTGTGATATGTAGTTGAAATTGTAGTACAGGTTATGAGCACAGTTTCTATATGCATAAATACATAGATTCATAACCACAGATAAGTATACATATTTCAGAATGACCATCAAGTTCAGAATATTCTAGGCTTGCATGAAAGGCCTTACTCAATATGCTTATAGTAGAATAATACAGTCTGCAATCAGTTGGTTCAACTGCTCATTTGGGGGGTTTAAACCTTCTGTTCTCCCCTTGGGCTGTCTGGACCCTGATTGTTACAGCCATTAATGAAAATGAGAAACAGACCCAATGCTGTGCACCAGTGTAAAGTGGTTGTATATGAGAGTAGCCTAATGGCCCTCTGTCATCCCCTGATTACGGATAAGTAAAGTAAGCTAATTCCAGCTCGTTTTCTCTAACTTCTATGCACCAACTATCTCTGTGGATACTCCCATCCTGGGGTGTCATGTCATGGGGCTTTCTATAAGCTGGCTTCTTCTTCAAATGGAACAAATACTGTAGGCACTTCTGGCCCAAGGACTGAGAGTTTACCTTTAAATAAAAATAACTATCTCTTTGAGGGGTAACTAGGCTAGAGTTATGGGGAAGGCAGTCCTTATCCAAATCCTCTTTAAAATAAGACACCTTTGATTTTGATTCAGCTGTTACGGTTGAGGCTGGATCTTATTTTTTCCACACCAGTTCTCTGCTATCTTGAATGTTGTCTTTAGGCCCCAATCCTGCAAAGGTACAGTTTATGTCAGCAAGAGCTCTTAAACCTGCACAGTCCCTTTGTAGGATCGAGGCCTGAATTTGTACTATGTATCAAACTATACTGCACCTGCTCAAGAGACAATTCCCCTGCTACTACACATGTTTAACATTCAAAATAATCCTCCGATCATTCAGTTACATGCAATGAAGAACAAATTGATTCCAATCTTCTTTCTTATTTGCTTGCTTATGCTCAGGTGGCTTCCATTTATGTCCCAGGGAATAATTCACTCAGAAATCGAGCTCTACCCTGAAGGTAAGGGTTATTGTTACACTATGGAGATGAAATCAATAATTTGTGTGGTTTGCTCAGAATCTTCGTGCTGAATTTATACTTAAAATTTAACCTTAACCCTTTTGCAGCTTCCATAGTTCCATTTCCCAAGGCAAGTTTTTATATATGTGTGTGTTTATTAATTATATTATATTATATTAATTAGGAGGTGAGAGAGGGAGGATTTGCTTATGCAGGAGCCCAAGGGTTAATATCACACTTATCTTTCCCTTCACCTTTTCTTAATGTAACCAGCCAGGTCTATTATTAACTGCACTTCATATTTTATTTTTGGCAGAACTGCAAATAAATCATCAGCTGAAAATGCAAGATGAAGCAAATGGTAAATCCTGCTGCTGCTTTCTGTAGTCTAATCAAGAGTATCTCTGTTTCAGAACTACCTGCCTTGCACATTTTTTGCCTATTTATTTGCTTTTAAAATTTTAATTAAAATACACAATTAGATTATTGCAGTAAGCCCTGAACTCTTCATTTTGATTTAAATGATAAATCACTTCAATGGTGCTATTTGAAAATTCTTTTCCTTATTCTATCATTTTTCATGCCAATAATTTTGGGGTCTTTCACTGGTTATCTGGGCATTTATAATTTGCCTAGTAATTAATGACAATCCATCTTAATTTTACTTTCTTCAGTTAATCTTTCCATCATGGCTCTGTGGCTTTTGTCACCCAAGGCCATGTATAATTAGCTCTTTCCATTAGTTCTCCATTTTCCAATTCTACCTGCAATTTCTTGTTTGTTCAGATTGACTTTTCTGTCCTGATTCAATTACGTTGTATATATCTGAATAACACACAACTTTCCCCCCTGGCTGTAAGGAATACTTTATGCTGTAGCTTGAGCAACAATTTAGAAGATGTCAGGAGAAAGTTTTAAAATGTGTTCATAATTCACTGTAGTAATCAAGATACCCACTGAGACCCAAGTACCTCTTTTCAAGTGGTGTCCCTAAGGCAAATGGTTAATTATAAAATTTGTATCTATTATACAAATTATATTCAAATCCATATTTTACTTGTATACATTTTATTTTGAATAACAACTACTTTTGCCTTAGTCCTTTTATTGCTTTTCTCAGAAAGAACATTTTCTATGCAGTTACCAGGCTCTGTACTGGGGTTTGCTTGTTAGTACTGCCATAGTTCCACCAATCCAGTTCCTAGCCTTTAGTCAGTTTTAGAAGGAACTCTGTCTAGTTCTTCCTGCGTCCACAGAACTGGACACTACATTGTATCAATTCAGCCAAGTGTGTCTGACTGTGCAATAAAATTACTGCATATAGAAATGGCCACTTAAGTCTAGAAAAATGATGGGGAGTGGGGTTCTAAGCTCATGATGTAGTCAGTTCACTTATTTTCAGTGGACATTACAGGCTTGGGCCTGAAAAGAGCACTCTGAGTTTAGCCTCTTGATCCTGATCCAGAATCAGAATGAAGCACCATCTTGCTGGCCAGTAGAGCTGGTTGATAAAAAGCTGAGTACCCTTTTTTTTTCTGTTGAAACTGAAATGTTTTGTGGATACCTATTGGCTTTGATGAATATATCCTCAGTTGTAGGCTATATGAGAAATGAGCCAATCCTAGAATGCCATTAGCCCAGTGGTTAGAGTACTTACCTGAGGCTTGGAAGGCCCAGGTTTAAGTTCTTGATTCAGAGCAGGGACTTGAACCAGGACTCCAACATCCCAAGTTATACTGGGCTATAGAGTCAGTCTCTCTCTGTTCTATTGGATGCTCAATTATTTATACACAATGTAACAACGCCAACAGGACATATTGAGAGAGAAACTGACTGATTTTATAGCCCATCCCAGTGGTTAGGGCACTTGCTTCCAGGTGGGGATTAGAAATTCTTGAGTTCCTTATCCCATACATACACTTCACTGTATCATTCTCCTTGTATGTTTTTATTACCGTCTCCTCCACTGCCACACACTCCTTTTACTTCTGCATCTCTTCTTATACCAAACAACAAATCACATTTCAAAACTTTCAGTGTAAGCAAGATGGGTGCAAACCAAGACCCCCAGCATGCCTCTGGGAAAATTCACACCTGGTTGAGATTAGGATTTGGACTTTAGTGATGGCCCCGTACTGCATAACAGTCCAAATTTAAACCTGAATCCAGATATCCCCATCTTTCGAGAGTTTCAGCTCAGGAGGCACATCTGAACTTCACCGCTTAGGCCCATTTCTACTTGTAAAAGGTTTCTTTAGGGATGTCTCCCCTGCGTTTCCCAAATTTAGGCAGAATGTCCAGACTTGAGAGGACTAATAATGATACTCCAAACTGCATTGCCTGCCTTAAGGACACAAATTGAGGATCATAACTGCCCCTCCTCCTTCTCTTCCCTCCCCCCCCCCCCACCACCACACACACACACA